CCCATCACCCTGTGCCCCAATCACTGCCAATGCCACCCAATCACCCCCAGTTCCCCCATCAGCCCCAGTCCCCCAGCACGCCCGCGGTCGGTGGAGCTGCCACCTGGCCTTTAATGAGCGCGGGGTGTCCCGGGGTGTCCTCGGGGTGTCCCCGGGGTGCCCCCGCGGTCACTGCTGGATGCTGGCCAGCCCGTCCCGCATCTTCCTGGCCATGGCGGGCACGAGGCGCAGGTGCTGCTCCCCGCAGGTGGCCAGGCAGGCATCCAGCTGGCCCCGCACGCGTGGCTCCGAGCCCCCCGCGTCCAGCGCATCCTTGGCCTGGTCCGAGCACTGCAGCGAGCAGCGGCTCAGCCGGTCCTGGGGGCAGCAGGGTCAGCGGGGCTGGGGGGAATGGGGGGACTGGGGGGACTGGGAGCACATTGGGGGGATCAGGGGAGGGACTGGGGTGGGGTTCATGTCCTGCCTAGGGTCCCAGTGCTGTCCCCAGGGGTCTCAGGGGGTTCCAGTGCTGTCCCCAGGGGTCCCAGTGCTGTCCCAGGGGTCCCAGGCAGGATCCTGATGCTGTCCCAGGGGTCCTGGTGCTGTCCCCAGGGGTTCCAGGGTGGGTCCTGGCGCTGTCTCAGGGGTCCCAGGGGTCCCGGTGCTGTCCCAGAGGGTCCCGGTGCTGTCCCAGGGGTCCCAGGGTGGGTCCCGGTGCTGTCCCAGGGGTCCCGGTGCTGTCCCAGGGGTCCCAGGCGGGGTCCCAGTGCTGTCCCAGGGGTCCTGGTGCCCGCGCTCACCTGGAACTGCTCCAGCTCGGCGGTGACGATGGCCTGGGCGCGGGCCAGGGGCGCGTGGCAGCGCTCAATGCAGCGCTGCACCTCCTGCATGGAGGCCGCTGCGTCCTCGCAGCAGCGCGCACTGCAGCGGAACATGGCGCCCTGGGGACACGGGGCACGAGGGGTTAACGGGAAAACAGGGGACACGGGGCATGAGGGGTTAACGGGGAAACAGGGGACACAGGGAAAACAGAGGACACTCTGGGGACATGGGGCATGAGGGGTTAATGGGGAAACACGGGACAAGGGGGTACACCCCAGGGGCACCAAGGGTCAGGGGGTTAATGGGGGGCACCCTGGGGACACTCCGGGGACACTCCCAGGTGAGGGGGACACTGGGGACACGGTGGAGAAGGGTGACCCCCAGGGCCATGGAGGGAAGG